AGCAGGCTGACACAGAATTTAATCTAGGGACAACTTATGAACACAGTTTCCTAAATTGACATCATTTAGGGAATAGAAGGGTTTGTGAGAGAGAAATGAAATGGCAATGCATCCATATCTGGTTCTTGTAGCACCTCATCATAGGGGTGGTTTTATATCTATATTTTTTTGCCAGGTTTCTGTGATTGGTAATTCATGTATGGTATAAATAAAAATGAATTTTCACTGAAAGCTTTGTCTTTACTGTTATTATGTAGAACCGGAGCATAAGAGAATTGCACAAAGTAGAAATAATGAAACAAATGCCTGACATTTTCTCCAGTAATTGTGAGAAATAGTTACTTAGGTATGCTTTGTTAATCCTGACCTCTGAATTCTTAAAATCACCAGTTCTTGCAAAGAAAGATATTGGAAAAACACTTTCCCTTTTGGCATGCAGAACTCACAAGAGCTGTGCCCAATGTTGAAATGTGAGCGAAACACTGCAGTTTTTGTTGGAGCTAATAAACTCCAAACTGTCAAGGATGCATTTCTTAGCCTGGCCAATCTGTCTGCCAATTTATTTATTTGTTTTGGTAGTGTTTTTTTTTTTTTTTTAGCAACTCATTTGTCTTAACTAATGTAGAAGATGACAGCCATGGCTGGTAAGGCAAGGGAAATGATATTTAATGGCAGAAATCACGACAAAAGCAGTGTCTGTAATATAGCCACAATTAATAGTGAGATTGCTGATAAACAGAACTTTCTCAGCCAAGATGGTGAATCCATCAAGCCTTTCTGACATACTGTACAAATAAAAAGTGAGATGGGGACAGAGGAGTAGAGTTCTGATACTGAAGGTAGTGTGAGTGATTCAGATAACTTGATATTTCTTCTAAAAATTAACATTTTTCAAAGCTGTTCCAAAAACCAGCACGTGATAGGCTTCACATGTGTACCATCTGATCCAATGGAAGTACAATTTCAGTTCTGGTGTCTGAACATGCAAATCTTAATCTCAAAGTCACAAGGCTAAGGGTGGCTGTGGCTTAGGAGGTACAGCAGGTCGCCTCCTAACCGGAGGGTTGGGGGTCTGGTTTCTGGCTTCTCCATTCCACATGTTGAGGTTCCCTAGTTGCTCCTGGCGCTATCACTGGTGTGTGAATGGATGAATGGGAAATAGTGTAAAGCACTTTGAGTGTGTGTCAATGCTTAGAAAGGTATGTTCACAAGTGGGAAGCCATTGAGGGATCACATTTTTATCTCACAGACCAGTAGGAGCTGCTTGTTTTGTGGTAATGACATGATTCCTCTCTGGTTTCCCATTTGTGAGCACAGGCTACTCACTCTAGTGTCTTTCTCTTTAAAGGATCTTTACATGCAGGAGCGCACAGTCATTGAGGATAGTCACTGAGTTGACAGCTCTGATTGTCTCCATGTGCCAAAGCTACTAGGTAAGTGCTTTCTTGAACCCAGATTAAGGGATCAACCTGTAACTGATGCCTTTGGAAGGTGATTGCGCACTTGATGAGGGAAATTTGAGAAGAACGCATATCAACAAATGCAACAGAATTTATAAAGGGAAATCAGATTCATGCCTATTATATAAAGATTTGTCATCCCTGTAACAGAGGAAACCAGACTGCCAGTGATGAAGAATCTCATGACATTATCACCACAGTGTTCCAGTGTTTCTTTTTCACCTTATTGTAGTTTAGTAGGCTGCTAGGCATAGTCCAGTTTGTAGAACAATGGTTTATTGTCTTGTTAATCTGAAGAGTTATATATATATATCTTGTTTTTCTGTGATAACATGGGGAAAATATTTCTCAGCTGCTGCCAGCAATTTTTGATGAAATGTTTCTGAGGATTTCCGAGAAAACATTTAAATGCTGTGTGTTTCCAAAACTCTCATTCCCAAATGTAGCCCTCCAGCTATCTTCTTCTGGATATTTGGGTGTGGTTATTTCTTGCTGGGACACGAATCAAATCAAATTTATTTATATAGCACTTTAAAAACATCCAGTTGACCAAAGTACTTTACATAGACAGAATAAAATCATGATAAATAAGTAAAATACTGTCAACTCAACTCAACTTTAGTTATATAGCGCTTTACCACAGCGCAGCTGACCAAAGCACTTAACATATCGTACAAATATAAAAAAAAACAACACATAAAAAGCTATAGACAGTAATATAAACACTAACACTACAGACAGAGTCTCATTCCTGGTCAAACGCCAGTGAATACAAGTATGTCTTCGTTTCTGTGCAGCAGAAGGATCCACATTTAGTTTCATTGTTACAGAGAGCACAAGAAAGGGAATTAGGTACTGAGCCTGACTTTAGCATGACTGAGGAGTTTATTCTTCAGAAAGGAGTACTTTATCGTCAGCATGGAGCAATTAAGCAGCTAGTTGTTCCTCAGTCTGTTCGGGATGTTGTGCTTACTTTGGGTCACTCTATCCCTTGGGCTGGCCACTTGGGAAGGCATAACACTACAGCCCGTATTAAACAACATTTTTATTGGTCTGGAACCATATTTCCTTAAGACAGATCCCAACAAGAACAGAATGTACAACAAGAACAGAATGGGATCAAGCACAGATCCCTTTGGGGACACCACTACAGATGTGGGCTGATTTTATTGAAATGATTTCATGACAGGAAATGACCATCAGATTCAGAAAAATGAATGACCCTTTACTAGAATAAACAGTAGATTTTTGATAAACAGCCATTTCAATTCATTTTAGCTGGCTGAGAGAGTGTAATGAGGAGCATCCACACAGAGGTTAAAATAAAACAAGCAAAAGGGGCTAGTAAAACTAACAACATGTCAAAAGGCGATGGCGATGCCAGGTGAATGTTATTTATAAATGAAATGGCCACTTTCCAAAACAGTGGGAGGGGCGTCACACTCTTATTTTGATGTTCTTTGTTTTCCCCTACTTCCTGCTGTAATCCAAATGTCATAATCTATATCTTGTTTGCATAACCACCACTACTTTGACATCCCATCATTTTCCTTTGACGCATTCCAGAATCCAGAAACATCATGCTCTCCCTTCCTCTTTCCACGTTTGTCTCTTTAAGACCCTCCCTCTCTCCCGCCTTCGGTCTCCTCTCTCCCTCCCTCTATTCTGCCTGCCAGTGTTCTCACACTGTCAACTTCAGTTTGACAGCAACAGAGCACATCCGGTTTTTACAGGACTTTAAGCTTCTGTAAGAGTCACACACCTCTGAAGATAAGAGCAGTGAGACTGCCCTCTCTCCTGCAAAGGAAGGTGAGTGAACTGAATTCTCACTCTGCTCTTCTGTATCTACATTTTTCCCTCCACCTTTCTATTTCTTCTTTACCTGTCCTCTTTTCTCTTGGAACTTACATTCACACTCTTACCTGGGCTGACCTGGTAGAACCGCTCAGTTTGGTTCCAGAGCCACAGTTTGTACAGTAAATATCCTCAGGTTGTTGTGTGTTAGGATAAAAAGAGTCCTTTTATTTAATGATAATCTCTTTAACAAAACAGAACCAGGTAGACAGTTTTCTCTGATATCAACAGTGCATGTGGTCAGCTGGTCAAGGGGCTTACCCTTGAAAAGTTATTTCAATAAAACTGAATCTACAAAAGCGGGTGATGAGTTTGTTTTGAGGAATAACTGATAATCACATAATTTCCAAGGGTTTTGTGCAAACTGGAGACACCCTTCCTCTTTGTTCTGATAAATGTTTTGCAGTCTATTATTCTGAGAGATAAGCAGGACTTTGATAAACTGTGGTGATGCAGGTACTTAAGCAATATATGACCTTTCTGTGTGTTTACACTGCAAACACAGTCTTTGACATCACAGTCAGGCAGGTTATATCATTTTGTCATGTGTCGTTTCATTTTTCCCAAGACTTTTCTTCTAACTTTTAAATGTCAGCACCTCCTGTACTCCTGGTCCTTGGAGGCTTAATATTTAAGTTTCCTATTTACAAAATACTTTTTTTTCTGCAAAATAGCAGCAGTCTTTCCCCATTAACCAGGAACTGCATTGCACCATCTTTTTGTGTGACTCAGTCTGTGGGTTTCTTCTTCAAATTATTTTTCCAGCCTTTTATGAGTGTATCATTGTATTCAGTGTTTTCATCTTGTTTCCAGACAACATCAAGACAGAGCTTGTGTCATGAGGTGAAGTCTTTCCCAACTCATCTATAAACATGAGGTTATGTGAGTCTGTGAGAAGTTGGAGGTGGCTGGGTTGTGCTGGAGCATTCAGGGTCGGAGTGGGAGTAATGCTGCTGGGGCTTAGCCTGGCCGAGTCCGTCCCTCCACAGGCCTCCTGCGCAGCAGCCCCACAGAACCTCACCCAGCCCCACTATCAAGATGTGACACACAGTGACACCAATGTGGGCTTTATGGCAACTCTGGTCCACTCCTTCCTCAACACAGTCCAACCACAGCCATTTTCTGGAGGTCAGTGTTTTTCAAAGTCTACTGTGCTGTTCTGACACACAGTGCCCCGTTTGCTTACTCATATCTTCTGTTTGTGTGACATTATGTGTAGTTTCTCTGTGACTTTGTCCAGCTCACAGAGAAACCAGGTGCAATCATATTCAAATTCTGTGGCAGTCATGCTCTAGGTTGGGCAAATATTTTCCTACAGTGGCAAAGGCAAGGCATCAGTTTTAATCTTTACTCCTGGTCTGTGTGGCTGGTTAATCAGTAAGTTAGTGGAAATTCTTTTTTGTCCAGTCATTTAGTAACCCTTATGCCCTGCCCTGATGTTTGTAGACCAGTGATTTGTTTTACCTGTTAATAGGAGGGTCCAGGGGGTGGCCAGCGGTGGCACCAGCCACGCAAAATCTCATTGGCCACCCCTGCCAAAGTCAAAATGTGATATGTGATGCTTGTTACTATTAATGAATAAACAAAGAACCACTGTGCAGCAGCGATGTCGCCGGCTGGGAGTAATTAAGAAGGGCAGACAAAGTTAGCAAAAAAAAAAAAGAACTGTGTGTCTCATTTTTACACAGAATAAACAATTGGATTCTTAATAATGCATGGCTTATTATTTCATAAAAGTAGGGGTTTAATTAACCTTTTGCATGTTTCAGATGTGCCACTCCTCTCAGAGTCTGTGCCCCAGCCTGGCCACCCCATCCAAAATGTTATATGGTAGAGGTCTTTCACTCAAAGTTCACAACCTGGCCGTGCAACATTTACTTTTATGCATTTTAATAACTAATTACTGATTTGTAAAGAATTTCTAACTGATATGACACTCAACAAAAAATTCAGGACAAATTCTAACACGTATAGAGGCATTCATCAGTATAAAATAGAACCTAATCTTACTTCGAGTGTTTTTAACTCTTTAATAAGCTTTAGTAACATTATGACTTAGATCAAACTAACCAGGGATTAAAAGAAGAGACGTTTCCTCCCTGTCATTTGAACCTTAAGACTTGGACATGATCCTTTCTTCTGCCTACGACCTTCAGAGCCCAGCTTCTGAATTTGACCTTCTGGTAAGACAGAAACCTGATTTTTAGACTCGCTACAATAAACACAAATGTAATAAAGTAAAGCAGTTCTCAGTAAGCATTCAAGCAGGAAATGTTTATGGGAAATGCAAATTTTTAGGGTATTTATGCCTGACTGTAATCTGCTGTGACACACCCCAATGGTGAGAGCTACACAAATAGCTCATGTGAATAACACCCTTATCATCTCCTTTACCCATGCCAGCGTTTTGTCAATAATATCCACATTAACAGGGTTCAGCGATAAATAAATAGCAGTAGACCTCCTTTTGGTTTCCCAAGTAACCACAAGATGAATGTCTCACATTTACACTTTTACAGTGCGAGAGATTAAAATGTTTGTTAAGAGCAAAGGACACATTGTGCTTGCGATTGATCTTTTATACATGGATGAGTAGGACAGCGACTTGAAGCGGAGAACAGTAATTAGCTATTTATGTCTTCTGCAGTTATTAAAAAATACAGAGCCACAAAAAATTATGATTCCCTCCATTTCTTTCTAGATTTGATCCTGCAAGTTGTTGATGAGGCTGTGAAAATGCAGTTAAATCAAGAAGTCATCCATAAAGTAAGTGAATGTACATGAACATATCGTACATACATGATCAGAAGGCTCACACCCCATAGCTGGTAATCTGAGAATATTTAAAGCATCTTTATGTATACCTTATGACTGAAGTTACTGAGACTCTGAGCCTCTTTGCCTGTGGGCTTTCACCACAGCAAAGAAACATTTCTGTTTGGTGATGTCTCAGTGTGTCTGACGTCACAGCAGACCACAAAGAACTGATGCCGTTCTGGATTCTTTGACCTTGAAATTATTATTTGTGCCATTTTAGTAATAAAATGTCACTTTTCTGTGTATGTGTTTGTTTTGTTTTTAGATCCTGATGTATAAAGTAGGCTTCCTGGTGTGTGCAGCCATTGGCGTGGTGTATATCATTCTGATGCCCACAGTTGGTTCCTTCTTTGCATGCTGTCGCTGCTGTGGCAAATGTGGGGGGAAGATGTACCAGAAGCAGACGTCCTCCATTCATTGTAGCAGAAGAACTCTCTACTGGAGTGCATTTGTCACCACCGTCATTATCCTGTGAGTGCGTGCTCTCATGTGCATTTTTGGACAGCATAATGATGCCTTTTCTGAAATTAGCATCAAAAAGAGACAGCTTGAATGTGCATGCCTCACTGCTTTGTGTGTGTCTCCCTCGCATCCATGTAATGTTTGTGACGCACATTTAAGTCTCTGTGTGTGTGTGTGTGTGTGTTTGATATTTTCGCAGTGCTGGCAACATCTGCATGTTCAAAAGCAATGAAGCCTTAAAAATGAGCGTGGACCAGAGTCCAGAGCAGATCAACAAATCTATAGACAACATCTGCACCTTCCTCACTGCTGTGCCTCAGGTAAGGGGAAACCTCTGACTGACTGAAGCAGTGTAAGTAGAAAAATACAAAGGTCAGAGGTCAGTGTGGCAGCATTCAGCAGTTTATCACTGGCTGACTGCTCTTGATCTTTATTTTTAGACAGTTAGTGTTAAAACAATAAATTATCTTGTTAGTGTGTATTTAGGGTTAGTCACATTGAGTCATCAGTTTGCTGAGAGTTGACAGCTGTTGTGTAAGATCCCAACAGACCCTGATTCTCCTGTCAGTCCACTAGTTAAGGACCAACTCTGTGCTCTACAGTGTCAATATGCCTACAATATCAAAGGAAAGTAAACAAAGGTTGGAGGGAAAGGCAGGGTGGTGTTCTGTTTGTTCTCCTTCCAGCACAAAATGTGCATGGATGATTTGCTCATGCGCTCTTAGTCCTTAACATACTGTATCTTTTATTTCAACACACATATTAGATGCCAACTTTGAAATTGTTTGTTTGCTGTTTGTCTTCAGCAAGTCAACTATGTGGTGAATGAGAGTAACACAGTCATACAGGCTGTTGCCAGTAACCTAGATGGTAAGAAACCACTTTCCTCCATTCTAACCACTGCAATACAGCATCTGTTCTCATTGCACGATTAACCCTCTACTTGTTTGTATGAATTAGCCATTGGGCATCAGTTGGGAACAAAGATCCAGCAGCAGTTCAATGGAACCCTGGCACCAGCACTGCACTCACTTAGACTTCTGGACCAGGGTATGACGTACCTGCATGTTCTGACCTGTTTCAGTCGGAGCATGTAACTGCTTGTGTGCATATTTGACAAGAGCTCAGTAATGATGTAGGCTGGTTCTGCACATAACTGTAAGTGCACTGCTCAGTTTCATTGCATTTCACATCTTATCCTGACACTGAAAAGTCTGCTGAGGTCTTGAATGAAGTCTTATATGTGTGTGTGTGTGTGTGTGTGTGTGTGTGTGTGTGTGTGTGTGTGTGTGTGTACAGAATAAGAACAAGTACAGAAACTATTATCCCAGTGGATGGTGTACTGCAGGAACCTATTGGGCACAGGCCTGAGTGGTCAGGGATCTCCAAAGCAGAGACTACTACTACTACTACTACTACTGCTGCTGCTTCTGTGTTAATAACTTAGGCTGGAATAGTCTGTTTTTGTATGCAAGTGAATAATATAAAGAACAGTGTTAATCCACTGGCTTTTGTAACTGAGCGTGTCACTTTCCAGCCTCGTGCTGTTTTCCAGAATGACAAATTTAGTGCTGATACATAATTTACTGACATTTTTAAACTCTGTATGTCCACTCTTGTAGTACCACAGAAAGCATGGTAGAAAACATTAGTGATGTTTTACTAAAAGCAGCTGGATATCTCCCTTAGTAATTAATTCCCTGTTGTTCTTCCCTTTATAATGCAGAGATCCCATTCATTTAAGCTTTTTAAGTGGCTGCTGAATGAGGATAAATATAGGTTTTAAAATCATTATTATGTTATAATATTTGTGCTTTTTCATTCATATGAGCAGAGACCCTAAACACCAGTGTTCAACTGTACAAGCTGAATGAATCTTTGGTGCAGCTACAGCACAGCCTGGATTCTCTCCAGGCCAATGTCACCGCTGTTAAAAATCGCATCAATCAGACTTTATCCAATCCAGACTGCACCGGCTGTGGCAACCTGCAGACTGAGCTACAGAGTCTAACTCTGAACACCTCCATCAGCGTAAGTACAGATTTTCTGTAACCTTGTATCTAGAATGGGATTTTCCTGTGTTGTTTCTTCTTGAATGGATGAATCACATCTCTAAATGGTTGAACAACGCTGGTGAATTAAATGAGGTGCTCCATGCAAAACAATTAGTTAAGAACTCACTGAAATATAGACTAAAAGTCACCCTGGGTTTCACAAGGCATTATTCTGAAGCAACAGGAAGAAACATGTATGCAATCAGACCATGTCTCATGTAGATTCAAGAATGTGACACATAACAGTGCTTCATTTTTGGCTTTGTCTGAACAGCTGATTAGACCTCCTCCCATCTGTTCTTTTCCATTCCTCCGACACTCTAACTCTGACGCATACAGCCTTCCCTCGATTCCTTTTGCCTAATCTCATCTTCTTTGTTTTATATCATCTTTGTTGTAAAAACAAGAGTAAGATGAGGTAAATGGTAGAGATACCGCTCTTTATTTTTTGAAATTGTCTTGCAATTGTGGCCTTTTGGCTCTAACATCAATAAAAACTGGTGCTTGCTTTGCTGAAGTTTGCTTCCTCCTTCAGGTATTTTAAGGTATAACATGTGATTGTTCTTGACAGATTCCCAACTTGAATGAGTTCCAGTCTGCAGTGGATAAAGTCATCAAAATTAACCTCACATCTAAAATCAAAGAGGTAAGTATCTCCTGGACAACAACAATCTGCTAATAAATTCATCTGTCTTTAAATATAATGCCAGCCTTGTTAATACATTAGAATTGTTGGATAGATATGTGCAAAGAGTAAACAAATTTTACCAAAGATAGTGTAATGAAATGTGGCTTATTACTCTGCTGTGTTATTTACCTGCACACTTTGAAGTGAAGTGTATTAAATGTGTGTAAAACGAGATAAATCACTGACTGACTGCAACAAAAGTTGTTAGACACATAAACACTATTTTTCAAAGCTATTGACGTACTACTATGAAAACACACTAATGTTCTGGTTGTCTTAATGTCAGGTGGAAAACAGTTTCAACAACATACCCCAGACGGTGACCAATGAGACCAGGGATCTAGTTCAAAGTGAGTGTGCACGTTTATTCCCCCAAAATTGCCATCACATCTCTTTCAAGCATTAGCTTCAGGTGCATAAGTTTGTGTCTGTGTTCATTAGGCAGCAAGCAGCAGCTAGGTGACATAAAAACACAGATCTCCAAAGTTACCAGTGACATCCCTTTATCTGCTCTGGGGAACGTGTCAAATACTCTGAACCAGGTGAAGAAAGAAATCGGCAGGGTCACCCCACAGGCTGAAAAGGCAGAATATATCGGGTAACAAACTGGAAAGTGCAAACACATATGATGGATGAAGGAAAAACCCACATAGCAGTTATCATTTGTGTATACTTCTGCAGATGGAGTGTGGGTATAGCCATATGCTGCGTTGTCCTCTTGGTGGTGGTGTGTAATGTCTTGGGTCTGCTCCTGGGCCCTGTGGGTCTGACACCCAGAGCAGACCCCAGAAATCGCTCCTGCATGGCAGATTGTGGAGGAACCTTCCTTATGATGTGAGTTCTGTGTTTGAATTTCAGTTTCATTTTCAGCCACATAGCTGACACCCTTATCCAGAGTGTTTTCACCTCCTGACATCTGATCTGAATGTGTTTGCAGGGGTGCAGGTTTCAGTTTTCTCTTCTCCTGGCTGTTCATGATAGTGGTGTTGCTGTTGTTCCTGGTGGGCGGAAATGTTTACACCGTAATCTGTCAGCCCTGGAACAACAGACAACTGCTAAAGGTAGTGATACACAGTTGTACATACTGTAAATGTGCATGTACGGCACATGCACGGTGACTGGGTATATGAAGATGCTAAAGATACTATGTTGACTATCTTTGTGTTATATCAATGCCGCTTCTCCACAGATCTTTGATTCTCCAAACTCACTTCCAGGCTTGGATATTAGTCAAACCTTAGGACTGAAAACCAACCTCAGTATCTTTGCTATCTATAGGTATGTCATGTCGTCTCTTATTCCGCATGAAATAGAATTACACATTGGCTCTATGTCATTTAATTTCATTTAATGACATGCATTGCACACCTGTTTATGTCAGAAAATAAATCCAGGTTTTGGCTTGATTTTGTTCCTTCTTTTCCTTGTCAATTTAAAGTTTGATTTGATTTGATTTATTCTTTCAACCATGTAAAGACAGTTGATATGACAACACACATAATTTTACACATAATCCAATATCAATTTGCTTATACCTAGTACATGCTTGAATGGAGTAGGAAGAAGTCAGACTTATCCAGTTACCGCTTTAAATCTGTAATTATGATTAGAGGATGTGCAAACATCTTAAACTTGATGCTAATGTTTACAGTGACTGTAAACAAAACCAACCTCTGTGGACAACACTCCACTTGTATGAACTCATAAACCTCGAAGATCTGCTTAATGTATCTAAAGTGAGTTTCTTTATTGCCTTTTTCAGCTGTTGAAAGTAAATGAACATCAAACTGTGAACAACTTTGTGTATTAAACCTACAGTATATCATCATTCTCAGTCATATCAATGATTTTTTTCTTCCCTTGCCCTGCTCTCTGTTGGTCACACACAGTACACAGAGCAGATCCAGCAGCAGTTTGAGAAGACAAACCTCAATCTGTCATCCATCACTCTTCTGAGTCCTGAAGTTGAAAACCAACTCAGGACCTTCTCCACCAAGGCTACACAAATTAACACCACTGCTACCGCACAATCGGTACGCATTATACATGGGTTTACATATAGATTTACTGTGAATACTTGGATCTATATGTAACATGTACAGTAACTGTGAACCAGAGTTCTTTGCATGTTTCTCTCAGATGAACAACATTTCCAACATCAATCTGAATACAACGGCAAATAAACTTGACAGAGCTGCTGATACAGTGAGTCATAATCTCCTGCTAATATTTTACACTTTGTTCTTCTTTTTTTTGCAGTTTTATCTACTAACCAACCATTTTTGTTGTTCTAGAAAAGTGGCAATATTCAACAAGAGCTCCGGAATGAGGCCAGGGACCTGAGGCAGATCCAGACCAACATAGAAACAATCATTAACCCACAAATAGTGGGTAGCTTTCTCTATTTTGGCCAACATCTCTCCCAAATGTCTTCATTCTGACTCTCCTTTTTTCATGCTGGCCATCCATCTGAACTTAAACATAGACATCTGTTGCTTTTGCTCTCAGAAAAACCTGAACTCGACCATCCACAGCCTTCAACTCATCACTGAAAAAATCACTGTGAGCACGCTGACAAACACTTGGAACTGTCAAGAATAGAGCTCTTTCTCCTCTCATTTTTTTCTGCGGCTTATTCTCTCCTCTCTGGCTCTTCCAGGGAACAGTGGGGGAGGTGCTGAACAACACGGGCAAGGCACAAGACTTCCTCAACACAAATACAACACAGATTGTCAAGACTGTGAGTAGGGCCGTGTGTCACATGAGTCAGAAGGAAAAAGTGCTGCATGTGGCCTGTTAGTGCCGGTGGTTGGTCAGTCATTTAGCCAGAGGGAGTTGAGGGCGAAGTGCTATGGCTCAGTTAGATGGGTGCACTATGTGTAGCTGAAACAATGCGCTTGCACATCGACAGAGCATGAATAACATTTAATGTCCAGTGGCATGCAATAAAAGGTTCAGGATGAGATGTAGAGCCTGTTTTATCTATAGGATCCATTTTGTTTATGTAAACATGGCTGGAATGATCCTAACAAGAGCTGAAAATAAAAAGTATAAAATTCACTTCCTTACTTTGTCCAGTCATAATGATATTGCATTTTTTTTTACCAGTCACTGTGAATTTATCTAGAATTCCAAACGGCTGTTTTCTAATCACTCAAGACTTCCTACTATAAAGCACAGAGGAAGTGTGTGGAACTTACTCTTGCTCTCTCTCTCATTCTCAATCCCAGGAAAGCAGAAAGTTTCTGAACTGCCAGCTGAATCTTTTAACTGCTTATGCTGACTGGGCCAACATCATGGTAAAGTCTGTTCAAATCTTTGCCTGTATCAAACAGGACATGTTTGATTTGTGATCATGTGGTGACTTGTGCACCCTGGCTGATCAGTGTATACTCCCTCAGATCACACAGGAGCTGGGCCGCTGTGGGCCGGTGGCAGGAGCTGTGGACCTCGTGGACCTCGTCCTCTGCTCACAAGTGGTGGAGTCTCTGGTGAGGATCGGATGTTGTTAGCTCAACCTACGGCTGCACATCTCCACATTTAACTGATTTCTTTTTTGCCAAAGACACTGAAGTATGGAGAGCAGGGACTAGATTGACAAATGACACTTTATATAAACAATGTATTCACCCATGTTGTGTCTCTCTAGAATGCTTTCTGGTTCAGTCTGGGCTGGTGCCTGATCTTCTTCATCCCCAGCATAATCTTTTCTATCAAACTAGCCAAGTACTACCGAAGAATGAAGCACTCTGATGCCTATGAGTAAGCAGCACAAATGAAAAACTAAAATCATGCATCTATTAGCACACACATAACCATGAATCATTTGACCGCTCTCAATGTCTCTGTTTTCAGCAACCAAATTAGCATGACCAACAACCAAATTAGCATGGCCAACATCCCATGGGACCAAATGAAAATCTCCTGAGAGGACGGCAGGTGTGTGGTACAGCTTTTCAGGCACTACTGTGGCATCGCTTGACAAAATAAAAACGTGGTGCACTCCTGCACAGATGTGGCACATTGTTACTCTGAAGAAAAGTCTCAAACTGAGAAAAGAAAAAGTTATGTTACCTACTTAGGCCTGTTTGATTTCAGTTTTCACCATCCGGTACATTTCATATACTACACACTAACATCTTTGACTTGACCTCAGGGGCGCACAGGGCATAAGGGGATCTGCAGGGATTTTTTCACACCTTTTAAATGAACATATTCAAGAGATTAGTTTTATCTGTATTACCTAAATGTTTTGTATGTATTTAATAATTTAACTGAACCTGCTGCTGGACTTTAAGAATACACAGTGAACAACAAACCTGAGTACACTCCTAGTCAGTCTGACTAAAATAATTACACATCCTGTACATTTTATATTTGATCTGTTTTCAGCCAAAGCCCAGGAAGAATGAATGCAATTAATTTGAATTGTTGGAGTGGTTTTGCTGCTCTACCTACTATTTAAAATATCTAAAAGTTATTGTCTTGGATTTAGGTCACTTGGCCACATCATAGTTTTCCTTATTTTATTCTTTAAAAACACAATTTTTGCAGTGTTTTGGATCATTGTTGTGTTAAAGAATTCCTCACCCTCAAAGTTTCTTGAGACTTGGAGTCATCTTTTCATCCAGTGTTTGGCTATGCAAACTTGCATTCGGAGTGTCATGCCACCTCTACATACTGTGTCATCTCCCGTACACCTTTTGGACTCGTGCAGCCCCATATCAGCACAACGCCACCTCTGTGTTTTACGGTTGGTACTGTGGTTGTCCTGGTAGTCCATACCAAACATACTGGATCTGATCCAAACTAATTTGGTTTGAGTTCACTTCACCAATTTCCACAGATAATCCTTGTGCCAAGTCAGAAGCACTTGACCTATTTCAATATAAAATTGTGTAAACAGCAGTAATCTTTGAATAAGGCGCCTGCAACTTTTGTTATTGTTAGTATGGTTCTTCCTAACTGTAGCTGTGTTTTAGGTTGCGTTCAGCGGCCTACTGATGCTCTTGTGCCTGTGACTGACTGCGACTGTCTTTGATGACTGTGCGATGGTACCATTGGGTGATATTGCACAGGAGTGTACTCAGTTTTAGTGTACACTGAACACTTCCCATTTTAAATTCAGGTCGTTATTTGTTGAGAGGTGATTACATTTATACATTTTGTAATTTCGGTGTGTAGTGCTTTCAGACAGTGCGGCAGCGTGCTACTGTGCCAAGTGGCATTTGTAATGTACCAGCCTCTGTCTGTTCATCACCTTTGCTGTGCAACCAAATTTCAATTTTAATTAATTATATTTGAACTAATGTTGGAAATCAAAGCACAGCTCCTTGGGTGAATCATTTCGTATGATAAGACCGAAACCTTTATTACTACAACATTATTTGTGTGCAAATACTGTATTTTTGTGACTACGGCATTTGACTGATGTGATTCATGAATTGATAGTGATGATTTTTCTACCTTCCACTACTTTGTACTTTGTATTTTATCTTTCTGTTTGCACTCCACTTTATATTGTTCAGTGTGATAAAAATAAATCTGTGAACATTCCTGTCAGTCATAATCAAAACTTTGTTGCTGTACATTTTTCTGTCTATTAACCTAAACATGAACCTCAGCCAGGTGTCTATTTACCACACAGACAATGAAAGTATGTGACACTGCATACTCGTGGTTCTGAATGTCCTTTTTGTTAGAAACTAAGTTTAACAAACCCATAGCTAGTGTGTGCCAGTAACATAGAGGTAGATTATAGATACTTCTTATTTAATGTTATCATTGGAGAGACATGGTGTGTCTTTGTTACGCTTCAGCGTAAAGCAAATTTTGAGTTGTGTGAAATATTCATCGACTAGACTCAAGGCCCCACTGCTATAAATGATGAAAATGAAATTTAATGCAGTTTGCCATCTGCTGACACATTCATTCCTTCTGCAGAATACAGTCAGCTGTTCAGAGACAAGCAGAGGACAGAATGGCAGGCAGGTTCACAGGCATCTGTTCAGATGTATTATTGTTTACAGGATGCTTGTATCTATAATTAGAACAAGCGAATTGATTTCACTGCTGCTCCAGCATGACTCAAGACCTTGTAACATGAGCGGCTGGGCACAAATAAATTCCATCCAAAGAAAAAATGTGAGACAAACTGCAAGCGAAAGAAAGTGAGGAGACAGGAAAATAGAGAGATTGGCTGGGGGAAGATGTTAGAAATCAGGTAATGACTATTTCTGCAGCTCTGCCATTTTGTTGCCCTTGGAGAAGCCTGAGTCTGTTATTACCTTATGCCTCTTACACTGAAGATACAGGACTCACTACCCTCCAATTTCCCCCTCTACACTTATCCCACTCTTGTGATTATACCCTCATGTCCCCATGTGAAACCTGCCTATTTGCTGTGAGATTCAGGAACCACACATACACTCTGTATCTTGTAACTGTGTTGTTGTTATTTTACAGGTGAGCTCTAATTCAGAAGATGTGTAATAACTAGGTGCACAAAACCTCACATGTTGTTAGACAGTTAAGCCTTTTAGATCAGTAGACTGGTTTTTTGTTACCTAAATCTGAGACAATACTGGTCTTGACACTTTAATATTCTTGACACTCTTGTCAGCTGGACCCATTTTGTGCAGCTGTGTGTGCTGGTAGAGTTAACAAACCAGATCTAAAGCAATCTGTGTTAACAGGGACTTGGCAGGTAGGTCACAATGAATGACACATTTCACAGTGCCATTAAAAGAAGTTGGCTGACTTGTGACCTGTTCAGGATGGTACCAGGAAGAACAAATTAAAGTGTTCGAAGAAACAATGAAAACCTCAGGGCCAACAACACCCAACATTATAAGCTTGGTATTTATTGTAGGGATGTCAGAATGGACTGAAGAACACTGTACAAATACAGAGCAAATAAAACTCAGACAGCAAAGATAAGATGTTAACTTTAGTTTTAACTCTATCCATTCATAGATATGTTCACATATCTCCTAAAAGAGTTTATCATCTGAAATAAACAAATGTAAGTGTGAAACCTTGTCAGACAAACTCAGGAGAAATTCCTATTTATTAACAGAAACAATGTTCAAAGCAAATGAATGTTTAACATTTAAACAGTTATCACCCTGGGCTGAGCGGCCTGTCTGGGGAAGTCAGGGAGTTCCCAGTGACTTTCAGATGGGCTGGAACATGTTCACTACACAGTGAAACTCACTGCACCGAAGTAAACTCTGTCGCACAGATTGTGTCGTGCTTGTTTAAGTCTATATAAAGCTTGCAATAGCATTATTAATGCACCAATCAGGCCACAAAAAGAATTCATCAGGTTTCATATTGAAACTAAAATGACAAAAAACTGCCTTTGACTATAGATATGTTCTCCACATAAAGAGCCAATTACAGTAAATAAAACCCCCACTTTCCTCAACAAAACAGAGAACAGATCCTCTGATCTACCCCCCGTTTCTCCAGAATATGACTGAAGCTGAGGAGACACAACAGAAATGTAACACTGCCCTGTAAAAAGAGCGAGCAGCAGCGTGAAAGGCACCGACTGTTCTGCAGCATTCTGGAGTCTGAAGCAAGACGTAGGGTTACTCAGTCTCCCAGACATTGTTCACAATAAATAACATTTTGTTTCAGAGGGCTCCACATAAAAAAAAAGAGACTAAAACATGACATATAAACTGCTCAAACAGAAAGCATTAAAGGAATCAAAGACAATAGGCACTTAAATATACTGTAATTTAGGGCTCTTAATCAGAAAACATTCATTTCAATGGATGCATCAAAAGCATGGCTCAGACAACAGTGCATTTTCAGCACATGGAGAAAAGCAGCAGGGGAAAGACAGAGGGCTTAACATCCCTAATAACATTACACACACTGGGTCCATGAAGGATGATGTACATGACCTTATGCAAGTGGCAGGGCGCCCAACCCACACTAACAGAACCGAATTACCTCCAAAATTGAATTTAAAGCATAAATGAGAGTCAGTTTTACTTGGTATTCTGTCTGGAATCTCCTGTGAGTTGGAATGCGAGGGAGCAGAGTGGAAGAGACAGGCGAGTCCCGAGAACAAAAATGGATGACAGGAATGGAAAAATAGAGACAAGCAGACTGTCTGGGGTTTGGTTTACTGAGGTTATGTGTTTAGGTTGAGCCCAATGAAACCAGGTTAATGTTTAAGCTCTAGAAGGCAGTAATGGAACCTTGGACCCACACTGCCCTCTTTCTAAACCATGCCTCACTTAAAAGAAACCATTAATAAAAGAATAGCTGCTTGCTTCAACAACACTGAGAAGATTTCTCATCAACCAGTGAAAGGCAGAAATACTGAGCTACAACTAGCAGACACCAGCTACTTTAAAGGTCAAGACAGCAAATATTCTACACACATATAAGACAAACCCTAAGAACAGGAGCTGCTTTGCTTTTACTGAACAGGTAAACACTATACTGTATTAACACAATATATTATTTATTGATGATATTTTGATAAAGGCTAAATGTATTCAATGCGTTTTTTTGTAAGAGCTTCCTCATTCACATGCAGCTAAGGCTCAAGAGATAAATAACTGTGCACATACAGGATGCAAGACTTAAAATGACCTGCATTATTTATACTGGGTAGACCTTCAGTAGTCACATTTAGTAGTTTCTAATAGTCATGCTTCATCTGAAATTGCTGCTTAAAACACAAAGGTCACAAATAACTGCATTATAATAATGATACCTGTAACATGCGTAATATGCTGATAGTTTTAATCTGATTGTCAACACACTGCTTCACAGGTTGGTCAGATTGTACGTGAGTCAGGTTTAGTTCTCCACTTTGAGAGTTTGTTTGTTTTTATGTGGATCAGACTGGGTTAGCAGGTAGTGCCACCTTGGTCCCTGGCACAGCGGCGTGTGTGGTCGACTGCTGCTCGGGTGTTTCTGCAAGAAGAGCCGCGGCGACGCTGTTGTCCAGGGCTGAGTCTGTGCTGGGATCTGTGACAGTCCTGGTCTGACGAGGTGGTACGGGAGGGGGGAACAACGGGGACTGGAGGATGTCAACGTAGTGCTGGCTGGGTTTGGACTCCCGTTGAAGGACTTTTCTCAGCAGGGGCTTCAACAGCCCTACGGTCAACTGGCTGCTGTGACAGTCTGCAAAAGGAGCAGGGGATGAGGACGTGGTACTGGACATGAAGGAGGAGGAGGAGGAGGGAAGGTTTTTCAACACCAGGTTCAGAATAGTGGTGACAGTGAGGTCCTCGGGGCACAGCGTCCACAGCAGGTCCAGGTAGGGGTCGAGGTCTCTGTGCTGGGCCACTTCGCACAGCAGAGTCGTGAAGATTTCCTTGTTGAGTAGTGGACTCTGTTTGCAAAATTTCTGGGCCACCTGGGTGACCCGTCCCCACTCCTGCTTGGCCATGAGGATCCTCAGTGCCTGCAGGATGGCGTTAGGCCGCCAACTTACCAGCAGCAGCTCCACCTCCAAGTCCTGCTGCTGGTCTCTGTCCAGGCTCAGGCTGGACAAGACATGCAGGGCTCGTTTGTAGAGTGGCACACCTTTCTCCCTGGTCTCCCCTCCTCTCCCAGTGGAGAAGCTCCAGGAAGAAGAGGTCAGGTTCAGGCCCAGGGCAGCTGAGCTCTGCTTCTGGGCGAGCTCGAGGAACCTGGGCAGCCAGCTGGGTTGGAAGTGGAAAACTGAATGGCAGAGGAGCTCAAACACAGGCAGGGCAGTAGGGGGACCGGAGCTCGGAGATTTGGATTTACAGTTAGTAATGTAATCACCTTTAAGGCTGTGATTGTGTTTTGGGCCTCCGTTTGTGAAGTGGAGGGAGACTGGGGTGCTGGAAGTCGAAGCAGGGCTGAGGACAGCTTTCCACACATCTGGGGAAGCCCTGCTGGAAAGAGAGCCCTCCCCATTGTAGTGCAGCTGGAGGGCCGCCTGCACCGCCCTCCACGCCTGGCCAGGGAAGATGCTGAAGATGGAGTTGAGGTAAAGCAGAACCTCTTTATCCAGCTCCGAGGACGACAGCAGCCTGGCTACTTCTGTCTCAACTAGACTTTCACACACTGCATCCACCTCTTTAACACTTCCCCTTACCAAACTCACCTTCACCTCCTCCAGAGACGCCAGAACCTTCAGCTCAGGTTCCAAAAAGCCCATTAGCTTGTCTTGCCCTGCCATACTTCCATCTCCTCCATTCTCAGACATTTCTGCTCCCTTCTCACTTGACCCTGTGCTGAAGTAGTCCCTGAGGATGGAAGCTAAACAGATGGGAGCCTGGAACCTACCTCCTTTCTTCAGTATGTCCACAGTGAGCTGGGTGCTACTCAGGCTCCTCTGCTGGTAGTATTTACAGGCCTCTTTAAAGACAGCCTCTACCAGGATGAATGCAGATGGAATACTCTCTGCTGTGCTGAAACCAGAAGACTTCATTTTAGAGTTGAAATCTCTGGTGTCTTTCTCCTTGTTCACTACCACAAAAAGTCCATTGTCTGAAAGAAGGTGTGGTGTCCATATTTCAGCCCGGTTTGGAAATAATAACGCCTCTCTCTTCAGCACAAAATTTTCCAGCTCCCTGCCGCAGTTCAAATCAATCAGATGCAAGTGTTGTCCTACCAGCAGCGCCAGGGTGTCCCGGTATATGCAGAGGCTAGTGTGAGTCCCATATTTTAACAAATGGTTGTCTGTCAGTTTGTATACCTTCCACAGCACCCCATCTTTCTGCAGGAGACACAGCCAACCCGTGCTGAGCAGCAGCAGCAGGCCTCCACAGCCTGTAGGAGCGCAGTCATAGATCTCAGGTGGCTCAAGAGTTGATAAATAACCCAAACAGTCTGTCACCACCTTCTTAAAGTCAGACTCTTTAGCAGAAAGCCTTTTTAGGGGAGTGTTTTTACATGTGGTGTTGATCCTGAAGGTGTCATGGTGTGGGGACCAGGACAGGAGAAATTTGGAGATGCTCAACAGTGGCTTCACTCTCAAGTCAGGAAGAAGATGCACATTTTTACCTGAGCTGACAACAGTGAATTTAGGATTGCTGTGCAGAGCGATTTTCACTCCTCCCAAGATGACAGCCACCTCTTCTACTTCAAAGTCTCGTCTGCAAACACAGTATCTCAAGTTATTCTTTGTGGAGCTGAATTCAGGGGAGCTTTCTGAGGATGGGCGCTCCTCACACCAGATGATTAGATTGGAGCAGGCACAGACAGACACTATTCTGGCCCGGGGGCTGTTGCACAGCTCCGATGTTTGCAGGAGATGCCAGCCTGGTTTGCACTCCTGGAATTTCCAAAACTCAGCTTTTCCAGTCTCATACACCACTGCCACAACTGCTGTGCCTCTGCTACTGCTGTTATTATTTTGGTCCAAATATAAAACATCCACAATAGGCACGGTTCGTGACAACCTCAAATCCAGTTTCTTCTGGTTCTGGACCAACTGGGGTCTCTCATACCTGTCAAAAGTCACAAGGCCGACGTTAGGCTTGCGGAGGATGACATGGATGTGACGTCCATCTGGGCTCAGGCGGACGTTTGTCAGGCTGCTCTTGTGCTCGTTATTAGTCAGCTCCAGTATTTCAGGTAGCTCTTTACCGCCACTGTAGTCCCCGAAATCTGACAACTGCTCCAACACAAACCGCGCCATTACTACTAGTTCCCAGCCTGAGTGTAGCTTGTAATTAACTTGCCACAGCTTATTAACTACCCTACTACCTTGTGTGGCACACAAATCCGACCTCAGGCTCCGGAGACGCTAACCGACTGGCATCTCGTTAAATCTCATGGGAGGATGCATCGCGTTGTTAACGTCCGCGCGGGAGGTTACGTCCGCCGACAGCCTTCGTAAACCCATATCGGTAGAGGACAGCGGAACTAAACTGTTGGCTGGCAATAAACGATTAATAAGTTTTAAAGCCAAATCGAGAAAGGCACTGCAGGCATTCCGATGCTATGCTAAGACTAGCACTCCCCTGACATCACGGGACTTCTAATTCCCGGATAACGAGGATGTTTACGTAGTAGGAGGAGCCGAACGACGTCATGAAGGCTGCAAAGATTGTTTACAGGCAGAGAGAAGAGCAACTGCTGCTGACATGGGTCTTCAGTCAGGTATTTATTACTAAAATCTTAGCGTTTATAACAAAAATATTTATCTATCTATCGAAAAAGATGAAAAAAGTGTCTATTTGCAGAAAAAGTGCAATTCAGTACTGGGTCACAGTTATGGTAGTATCTAGAAAGTGGCCAAGATGCCAAACTGTTTCCTTAGCTGACCTCTGACCTTTCAGCAGACAGTGCTAACAAACAGAAGGGCATCACTCTGTAAAACTGCCCATGTTGTTGTGCTTTAAGTTACTTGGATGCTTTGAACAAAACACAGCAAAGATTGTGTGCATTAATGCTGGTGATACAGCATGTGGCTAAAAACAGCTTGAAGAGTTGCAGTAGCTGAGTTGAAAACAATATGTAGATAAGCATGAATGAGGAACTTTTAATTTCCTTGTCTGTTTTGACAGCATACAGTACATCCTTGTTTATTTTGAAAAGAGCGGTCGGTCAATAACAACGTCATCTGGGTCAATGCCAACCTGAGAGACCAGCTCCACAAATTAGTACCACCCTGCTTCACGTCACGGATGTGGTTGCAGGAGGAGCTAGGACATGATGTTCATTATGCTTGGATAAGACAGCTAAGTAGGCATCACAGGGGTCGACTAACATAGCACAGAGAGATGTCTGGTCTTTGAAGGAAAATAATATTCATTATATAGGGAGTTAAAGACTCGGTGGCGACTCACCCTGTTTATTACTTTAACAAACCTTAATGGAAACTTTCAAGTCAGGCCACACTGTGACACTACTGACATTTAGATACCAATGAGGGAATCTGCCATTTGACTAGCAGCAGTAGAACATAACAGTTAGGCATGCCTATGGTAGAATTTTAATTTGATAAAGCATGCATTTGGCAGCATGCTGAGGCTGTTTCAAACAAATCTCAGAAGGTGTCAATTACATTTTGTTTCTTTTATAGAGAGGACAAACTACACTGAATGTTTTGTGTTTGACTTTCTTATCTTCTGATTGACTTTGTGGAACCTTTCTTGGAAAAGCATGTGAGCTAGGTGTGTCAACAATAGTTGTGACACAGAATTTATTATCCTTAAATAATCATTATGCAATCATGATAGTAAGTTAAAAAGCTAAGACAAAATATCTCTGAGGAGAAACTGACCTGGACTGACCGAACCTGTGCAGGAAAGAACACGCAGAGAAACCTTTAGATTCTGACACAAAACAAACAACAACAACAACATTTTTTAATATTGTCTGCAAAATTTCACTAGTCAGAATGTTGTGCTTGGGTGTAAGTTCACTTCATATCCAGGAGAAGGCAGTGTTGATCTTCATTCACTGCATGTGGGTGATTTGAAAGTTTAACATATGAATAAAATTTTATGACAATATCTGAAAAGTGCTCACTAGGGCAGAGTTAAATATGGATAATGGTTTTCTTCTTTCCCCAAGTGCACAGATGTTTTGAAACACTACAGACATTTTTCAATGAATATCACATGGTTATAGAGACCCAGCATCACAAGGCTGCAGTCTTCTCTCACCCACAGTTGTCCATTAAATCTCATGACTTATTTGTTTCTCTTTTGTCTCACTGCTTCTGGGCAGTTCAAGCTGACCTGTAAATCCACAGTCGTCCTGTGCTGACGGCTCTGTGGTGTCCACTGAGAGCTGCAGTGCCTTGAGTAGTTTTTGAGGGATGTAAATAAATATTATTCATTCACTTTTCCCCCCCTACATTTCCACAGTGTGAGGATTCAAACTCATAATTTTCTGGTCATATAAGCTGCATCTTTATAGCATTTTTCTTCAAGTTCCCATGTTCCTTATCTACTTTATGTCACATGGCCTTGGGAACAAGTGGCTAAAAGTGTGATATTTGGTTTTACTTGCTAGTTTTTTTTTTAATTTAAAATTTCTATGATTGAACTAGCTGAATGATGAATTTCCTTGAGGCTACTGGTGCTTTTCTTGCTTTCAGCTTTCATATATTTATATGGGCTGTATGTACTTTTGTGCCGGAAAGCACTTAAAGGGAAGCAGGTGTGTGCGTTTGTCTGTGTATTTATATCCTATTATGTCTCTGTGTCATTAGTGATAAAGTATATGGATGCACTATATTATTCAAACAGTAGATTCAAGCCCCACTACCTCCAGACAAGCAGACCTTGGACAGAAACACCCTCTATTAATGAATGTGTTTAGTCTGCTCTGCCTGTAGACAGGAAGATAAAGTGCTGGAGACCAGAAAGGGTTGGAGGCAGGGAAGATTTCCTGTTTGAGTTATATGGTGTTGGGGGAAAAAAAAACCCCATTGGATGCAAGATTTTGCTGCTCAGAGATAAAGAAGATGGGTAGGCTGTCAGCTTTGCACTCCTTCAAGACAGTTATTTTAATTTGGGCACAATTTAGTAGAAAGAATGTGTACACGTAAAAGTGTATATGAGAAAAGAAAGATGTTTCTCATTCAGTGCGGGGTTTGAGTGAGATGCTACCTCTCTGTGCATCTCTGTGTGTAAAATGAACATTGCAGCTTCTTGTCAGGCTACTGTCTCATGTGAGAACAGGCAGATATTACAGTCATTTCATTCTCGCTGTTGTACAACTGACATGTGTGCACCCTTTTTCTCACCATATCACCTCTTTCACTGATTTTCCTCTGTGCTGACGTACAGGAGCTTTGTGGGAGCTGGAGCCTGCCCGAGATAACTGAGATCATTATTTCGCTTGAATAGTTTGATCAAATTCCATATACATTTGGAAATATGTTTTGTTTATTCAGTTTTGATATTGTCGAGTGGCATCCCTTTAAAATTAAATGCATGCCAGATCTTAGTTTTTCAATATGTTATGTTGGAGAGAAAACACAGAGCAACCGGCAACAGAGTATTTACCAAGAAACTTCAACTCTATAAAGCAAGCAGTGTAGACAATCTGAAAGTCTAATAGCAACAACACTGCTCTTTATGAGAAATGCTCATTATCTAGATTTTTTTAATGGTTCCAAATTCTCTGGTAGCTTGAAAGTTAAATCTTCAGAGGTCAATTTCTGTCACAGATGGAATCTTTTAAGCAGTAAATAATTTTCACGGAGATTATATTCCAACATACAAGTGCATATCTCAGCAGCGTCTCTGCATTACTGACCCCATAATGCCTTTGCACAAGCACATGTAGCAATTCACAGCAAACTGCAGAGGAGAGATGATACGGAGAGAGGGAAGCTTGTTGGCTCATTAGGAAAACACACAGACTTGATAAACGAGTGTGACTGTAACTGACGATACTATGCCTTCAGCTGAGATGACTGAACAATAACAAGCTGGATGAGATGTTAATAGCCATTTTGGAAATGTTATCAACCATTATGGCTTCATGAAAAAAGTAGATATTTAACAGAAGAAAAGTTGTAATGAGAATATCCCAGAATTAGTGAAATTCTTGAGATGAAACTTATGATGTTCCTTAAATGAACCCCAAGTGCTGAAATGTCTCTAGCTCATAACACATACTGTGCCTCATTGGCTGATTAGATAACAGGCCATTTACAAATGGCTGTTCCTCCACATTTAGTGCTGGCTCTTATCATAATGATCCATACTCCGGCTCCTAGTATAAATAGCAGTAGTTCTCACATCACACTATTAATCTGATCATGGTCCTTCACTCTTCGCTGGGTGTGCTGATGTTTTGGGAGCCCTTTGTCTCTCTTGATTGTCTCCTATCTCTACATCTCTTATTCACACACACACACACACACACACACACACACACACACACTTGGCTACTAAAGTGTAGTACCATATGTGACCACAGATTGGCAATGTGTGCACTGGCTATGATGGTCCAGTTAAGGCTGGTCATGCGACAATAATTGAAGGTCATGCCATCACTGTTCTTACACACAGCTTGCTGACTGAACAGTTTAACCCTATCCAGAGGGCATAGAGTAGAGCACATATACTCTATGGTCAGATCCTCTCTCCTTCTGTCTTTGTGACAAGAGAGGAGCTCACCAGCCATCTCCTGTGTTCCAGAGCCATGGAAACAGCTGTAAGTCACTATGCTTCCTGCAGCTTAGAGTGTAAAAAGTCTCACTGGAGCAAATTATCAAAGCACAGGATTCACCCTTAGCTTCCTCTTTTATTTTTGTTAATTGCACCTCACTGCTTCTTTATTAATCACCCTGGAACTGTATCAAAGTTTCCTTCCACCTTGTTCACTTTCAGCCTCAGCTTCTACTTGTCTCTCCTTCTGCTTCCATCTTTCTGTCCCAGGAGCATGTATAATTGCTGTTGAGATAAACCCTCCAATGCAATTTCTCCTTTTGGTCTCTGAAAACATTCATCTTCCCTCAGCAACATGAAACAGTCAAACCGGGATCCGTGTAGCCTTTGATCACACAGAGCATCCTCTCCCTTACCTTGGTCTAATTTGACTGTATCTACAAAGCCTTGATGCTGTCACTTAAAAGGCCTCCACCTTGGCTGCATCTTGAGGGGAATTTGACAGGATCTTAGCATGATCAGATCCTCTGAACACAGGTGACATGTGTGCCTATTTACACCTGTTTATTGGCATGTGAATGTTATGAACATCTTGCTGGAGGTTTCCTCTTAAGTTTCCATGGAAAAGGAAGTGGTGAAACTTGCAAATAACCTGTGTGTGATGAGGACCTCCCATGATGAGCGGTCCTGCAACATCATCAGAACATGGTAACATTTTATGTGTATGCTTTCAGCTAATGCCTAATGGGCCTTCAGTCTTTTAGAGATGCTGTGGCTCAGAGATCCATTGACATCAACATATGTTTTCCTCACTCTTGCACACCCAGGGAAGTGTATACAATACAATGCAGTTCCCCACCTTTCTCTTGCTGTTATTCTTGTTAACTGAATGATATATACATCTCCAAA